AGCCACCAAACTTGCATACTGGCTATTTCTTTGCCAATTTCTTCATTCAACCTCTCTAATATATATCTCTCTATCCTCTACCACTTCTTCTAAATTCTCTACTCTATTTTCTAACTGCTCCACATTTCTTTCTAATACTATTACTTATGCTTTTAATCTTCTTACTTCTTGTTTCAACCTAAATTATTATTATTGCTATTATTATTATCAATTATTATTCTATTATTACCTTCGATTTTCATTTTGAAGCATATCAATTGTTTCATATAAGACACTTTGGCCATTTCTTCTTTGAGAACAAGTAGTTTGATAATTGCAAGGCATTTTTCTTATTTACTATTATTATTATAATTACAATATTATTATTTTATTTACTTTTATTATTATTATTATCTTACCTTTATTCTTTAAAATTTTCTTGATTAAGTTCTTATTTTTATTTTTTTTCGATAAAGTTTTATTCTTATCCCTTATATTTTATAAACTTTAATTCTTATCTAAATTTAGTGAATAATCACAAATTTTATACTAAAGAGAGACAAATATTAGAGACACCAATTAATGCATATTCTTTAATAAAATATTAAACACGACAATTATAGGACTCAATAGTTCAAATATAAAATAATATTTTATTACAAAAAAAAGAAAGAGAAATGAAAACAAAAAAAAAAAAGACAAGAGGAAAATTTCTACACAATTGTGTTATCTGACCCCTCCTCTGCATTCACATACATCTCCTCTGCTGCTCTCTCTAATTCAACCCTCCTCCTTTACTCCAAATCGATCCTTCTTGCCCTCTCAATACAAAGCTCCTCCTCTGCATTCTCCAACCATGCTTTTAACCTATTTCTCTCAACCAACAGCCATCTATGTTTTCCTCCAACTGCCAACCATTTGCTACATTCTCCACAATCTTACTTTGCTTCTCCTCGATAATATCCTTTAACTCCTTAATTTCTTGCTCCAAACTTCTAATATGTCTCCTTAATCTTTCAACTTCACCTCCCAACCTTATAATTATAAATATTATTATTAATATTATTATACTAAAAAAAAAAAAAAAAACAAAGAAAAAACAATATATATGTTGTGCCTCAGATCGATTCTTGCCTCAGGTGATAACTGAGGCACCTCAGATGTTGATCATCATATGAGATGCGTAACCTGTCGATCGATTACTTGAGGTGCCTCTGTTGTCACCTGACGCACCTCGGTCATAATCTGAGGCAATTAATATTTCGATTAAATAACGATCGCAATAACAATGAACAATATATAGCAAATTTAATCAATTCATCAATTCAATGCAAGCTCTAACTAATTTAACACTTATTTAAATATGAATGCCCACTGTGACATCTACTTGTACATTTTTCACCATATTTTTACATTTACATTTATTATTATTACAAGGACCTTTACAATTACATATAACACTTGATACGGATCCAACACTTTGAAGCCTTGCCACTTCTTGAACAGACAATTTATCTGATGGGATCTTGTCGAGTTCAGGATAGATAGTAGTACCAAGTGCTTCGAGTTCACCTGATGAATAACAAACGTTAAGTATACCAAATTTACATTCTAAGCGATATTGCTCTCCAACTTTTTCTATTATTTTGCAGGGGAGTGCGGGGCGATTGGTGCCAAATCGATTAATTTTTGAAACACTAACGCGAACCAAATCACCAACTTTAAAATCAACTAATTTTCTTTTTTTAAGCATCCGTTTGGTTATATTTTCTGTATAAAGTTGTAGGTCCCGTCATGCTGTATTTTGTAACACTTTATGCTGTGTAATATTAGAATGCTGGTCTGTAATATCAGCAAGGACTGGGTTTTGTTCTGATTGCGGATATTCTAGCCAAGATTCAACGAATTCAGATAAATAATAAATAAACAAAATAAACGAAAAACTGCAATAAAAAGAAATTTACCAGTATTACTACTATCGCTGTCATCCCGGTACAATTGTTCAGAGCTTTTGCCTGAATCGAAAATTAAAATCAGTGAAATACAAGAAATAAAATAAAATAAAATCTATAATTAAGATGAAGACTTACCCGCATTACTACCACCGCCATCCCGGTACAATTGTTCAAAGCTTTTGCCTAAATTGAAAATTAAAATCAATGAAATACAAATAAAAAAAAAGACCCACAATTAAGATTAAGACTTACCCGTATTACTACCACCACCATCCCGGTACAATTGTTCAGGGCTTTTGCCTAAATCGAAAATTAAAATTAATGAAATACAAATAAAAAAAAAAGACCCACAATTAAGATTAAGACTTATCTGTATTACTACCACTGCCATCCCGGTACAATTGTTCAGGGCTTTTGCCTG